CTCCTCCTCCTCCTCCTCCTCACTCTGCCACCAGAGCCTGAGCCCCCCTCTCCTCTTCTTCCCCTTCCTTGCCCCTCTTACCCCTTTCCTCTCCACCCTCTTTTCCCCCTCCCCTTTATATCCTCCCCCCTCTCTCTCCTCCTGTGATGTTTGTTGTTATGGGAGTCTGTGTCCTCCAAGAAGAACAGTGAGTGGTGTATTCCTTGTGGCTTCTGGTGGATGGGAAGCCTAGATACCCTGTTTACTCCTCATTTTCTTGTTCTAGTTTTTGTTCTTCTTCTCCTTCTTACCACCTCCTCCTCCTCTTACTCCTCATTCTGTTGCTTGTCGGGTGGCCGTAATGGGACAATTTCAACTGCATCTTGTTTCCTCCAACATTTGTTGTGGTCGTCCCCAGACATACTGAAGAAAGCCCTGGGCAAGTCCTCTTCCTGCAAGCTCTCCTCGTCTCAGCACATCAAACTAGACAGTGTTCTTGTTATTCTTCTCTGCTTCCTCCTCCTCCTCCCATCCTTCTTTTCCTCCTCCTCATTCTGCCACAAGAGCCTCTAATCAAATTGTTGTCAAACTGCTATCTTTCTCTATTTTCTCTAGTGTAAAGGAACTAATACAGTAAATCAGGTCTAATGGCCATCTGTCCTAGAAAATCACATGTACAAGTCAGGTCCCCCCCCCCCCAATCTTGTGGATTTTTAAATACATTATAAAGACACTGTCCAAGAAGTCCACCAGTCTAAGGCAACCTCTTTGCTTATCGACAAATGGGTGCCCAACTTGGGCAATTTCAACTGTATCCTGTTTCTCCCTAAGTTTGTCATTGTCATCCCCAGACATTCTGAAGAAAGCCCTGATCAAGGCCTCCTCCAACAAGCTCTCCTCCTCTCAGCGTATCAAACTGGACAGTGGTATTGCCTTCAGCACCTGCCTCCCGTGCTCGCTGTACCGACACGCGGTCACCACACTCACGCAACTCTCCATGGACATCCTAGGAGGTGTGTCATTGTTGTGTGGTACAAAAAAACAAAACAATCCAAACAGCATATGTGAGGCATTGTGGTTGAATCAGGCACTCATCAAAATAATGAAATCAAAGAAATCAGCATTTTTGCGGGCGTTTGGCTATTATTTTTTTTATCTTCTTTTTTTCCATTAAACACCTTTTATATTGATTTTAAAGCACTTTTCTGTGTGGATTTTTCTGAAAAACGTTGATTGAGGGCACATAAGATGTAAATTTTTAGGTTCCAAAGACTCTCAAGCTATGGACTCTCAAGTCACTAAACTGTGGCAGCCATTTTACTGCTCTGACCAGGTGACCCTCACCTCCTTCAATGATAAATATTTTGACTTCTATTTAAGATCGATTGGTATTTTTTTTTCATCGAAAGGAAGACAAATGAACAAGCTTTCAGATTGTACCAATAACCCCAAAAATCGACGAGCACCTGATTCCGCCGCATGATTACACATACGGCAACTTAAGGTTTTAAGAATAATTTTGTGGAATTATTTTTTAATGTTTATTATTTTGCCCTGTTCAGGGTTCATTCGGAACATGAAAGAGGTTGGGTCCTAGGACAGGTCAGAACCTGATATGTAAAGTCATGTTGATAAAGAGTTACTTTTTAGATTTTAACCCTATATATCAAATTTATTGGTTTGTTCTATTTATCTGAAGAATCGATAAACCTGAAGAGAAAGTGGTGTCAGTTGAAAATCTACAAACTAAACAGACAGCTTTTCTCCGACCTCTGTCATCACCAAAGGTCTGGCCTACAACAATGTTCTCCTGCCGATCCTGTGGCGGTTTCTGTGTGACCTTGGCCCGCACTGCGGCCTCAAGACTTTCATCGACCTGTTGTCGCAAGCCCCAGGGTCTACAATCCATCCAGTCTTCAGCCTGCTCTCCCTCTTCTGTGAGACGGCTTCACACATGATCACGTAAGAGTTTGTATAGTGTGTTCATTTATCACCTCTTTCAACAATGCATATGGTTGCTCTGGTGTGGTTTGTTCCTTCTCTCCTATCAAGCATCTGTCATTCTTAACCCTCCCCCTTCTTTTCTTGGCATAATACTCTTCAGTAATGCTTCTAATCTCCAGCTCTTACATGACTTATTTGGGTTGCAAGTACTATAGAACTCATACCAAGACGAACTAAAACTAGCGGTTACATACGAGGGGCATACCTGAAGGAATACAGGTAAAAAGCTGAAATTTGGAGTGAAAGCCTATAATCATCTTCCCACAATGCATGAAAATTTTGGGGAATTTCCAATTACTGGTTATAACACCAGCGCCCTGTACATGAATGGGGGTATGTTGTTTTCCAGTTTCAACATGAAAAAGGAGAAAATTGAGCACAGGGCAGTAATGAAGTTTTCGTTCTTGCAAGTCTAGCAACAACAGGATATTGTACGTAGATGCATGGCGTATATATATGGAATTGATTGCCCATCAAATTCTGTGATACAATTTTGATGTAAAAAATTAAAATGTGGATTCATGGACATTGAAGGTGACCACCGTGATGGCAGCCCAGTGACAGAAACAACAGAAGAGAATTAGCTGAAAATTAAGAAACTAGTGTTGTCTGATAGGTGTGTGACAGTCTAACGTTTGAGCAAAGAAACTAGGCTTAGCATTGGATCAGTGGAACGAATCTTAAATGAACATTTCAATATGACCAAGGTTTCTGCGAGATGGGTCCCACATTTGTTGACTCTTTCTCAAAAAGTGCAACGTGTGGATAGTTGTCAGGAATTGCTTAGTCGGTATGAAAAGGATGAAACTAAAATTTTTTGAAAGACTTGTAACCATGGATGAGACATGGGTCCACCACTACGATCCTGAGTCAAAATCTGCATCAATGTAGTAGAAATCTCCCTCATCTCCAACACCAAAGAAGGCAATGGTGCAGCCATCAAGTGGGAAAGGGATGCTATCATTTTTGGGGGACCAAAGAGGGGTGATTTCAACAGACTATCTTGAAAATGGACATACGATCACTGGAGAACATTATTCTAACCAGCTAAAACAATTACGAGAGGCTATAAAAGAAAAACGCAGATGAAAGATACGAAAAGGCATTTTGCTGCTTCACGACAACCTGCCATCACACACTTCAAGAAAAGCTGCAGAACCTGCGCGAGAAAGTGGCTTTGAAATTTTGCCACATCCACCGTATTCTCGAGATTTAGACCCGCCCGACTTTTTTTATTTCCTAAACTGAAACAGGATTTAAAGAAAGGCATTTTGAAAGTGATGATGAGGTCAAAGAAGTGGTAGAAGGCTGGTTTTTCTGATAAAGAGAGGGTTTTCTATTCTCAAGGTTTTTTCAGGTTCATACACCGATGGAAAAAATGTATAACTGTTAGAGGGGTACATAGAGAAAGATTAAGGCTAATACCAAATTTCAGCTTTTTACCTGTATTCCTTCATGGTCAGGTAAAAAACTTTTGGTATGCCCCTCGTACTTGTGTATTGTCTAGAAGGGGATGAGATCCATTTCCTGCATTGTTCCAGGACTTTGCGGGTTGTTGATGTGTGTTCTGGTGTGGTTTGCTTCCTCTTTCCTGTCAAAGATCTGTCTTCCTTATCTCTTTTCATTCTTTTCTTTGTATGATACTCTCTTTGACACTTACATGACCTATTTGTATTGCAAGTTCTGTGTAACTAAAACCAAGAATTACGCCTGAAGGGCCTGATCCCATTCCCTGCATTGTTCCAGGACTAAATTTGTTGGAAAGATTGTATGTCTAAATCACTCTCCGAAACGTGTTTCAAGAACCCCACACATTTGTGTATTGTCTGATAGTGTGTGACTATTCTTTACAGAATTTGAGATGTCATAGATATAAAGTTCTAGATTTATTTATAACAATACCTCAAAGTAACCTTCTGCACCATCTAACAGGAGTCCTGACAGCCCATCACATTTGTGTATTGTCATGTGACTGTTCTTTACAGGACTTGAGATATACACTAGTTCTAGACTTATTTATAACATGGCACTGCTACTGACTGAAGTTGTCTTTAAGTCATTCCCAAAGGGGGGATATTAACATTTCTTATGCCCAGTAGAATTGTAAATGGGCTAATTTATCAATGTAATGCTCCTACTGTGCCGGCGGCACAACATAGGGGGAACTGCTGCTTTTTCTTTCCTCATCCTTACTATCGTCATTTTTCCTCTACTTCTTTTGTATGTTTGTCTCTCTCTTGTGAACTGCTATTTCCGGGGTGCCTTGATAGTCGAAGGAGACTTTGAGCTGTTGAGGCTAGAGAGGTGAGCAGAGTAAGACTGATTCCCTGTTTGGACTTCTCTGTTGATATCCACCCCTTGGTGCTCATATGATCTTATGCAGTTGCGAGCGCTGTTAAACCTCACTTTTTTAAAAAAAAATTATGTATGACAGTGCCTCAAAATAACCTTCTGTACTGTCTCAGGAGTCATCTGAAAGCCCATCACATTTGTGTATTGGCTAGCAGGACACGATGATTCTATACCCTGTCTGTTAATTATTACAGGACGTTGGATGTGATTGAGATGCTGGAGCAGCAGAAAGTCTTTAAGGTGGCCGACTATGTGAAGATGGGAGAGTTCTTGAACCTCTTTGTCTTCCGCGTCATATGGGGAGGATTGATTAGTAAGTTGTGTCTTTGTTTTCTTTAGAAAATGTAGGTGCTTTTTATGCCTCCATCGATACAATTTAGATCATTTTGGAGGTGGGCTTGGACCATTCCTGAGAGAGTCAACCTGGCCTGAGAGGGATACATCGTCTGTGCAGAAAGATTGAGACACTTGATGAAAGTTCTCGCCATACAGGAATTCAACTCTGGGTTTTCTGTATTATGGTGAAGCGCCTAACAGCTTCACCACTGCACAGATCCTGTCTGTTTGCTGTAGAAGAAGTTCCATTTCTTTAAAAATGAGAGGTGTTACTTTTATTTACGCAAAATTTGTAGCTGTATTTTCACGTGGATCTTGTTTTCTTTCATATTTCTGTGACTTTTTTTTTTAGTTATGTCACCGAAATTGAGGATTTTGTTTCAAATTATTTTGAGAGGACTACCATGGGTAAGAGGGAAAGATCAGGCAAACGTAGCTTTTTTTAAGAGCATCCGAGCAAAGGAATGAATGGAAAACCATGATCGCCGATGTCTGTCGCAGATCTGGCACTGGTTGATGATGATGACCATTGCTCATCCCCATAATCTGAAAAGAGATCTGTGGAAATGCGTTTCAAGGTACATGTAATGTACTGTCTTTGTATTATCTGTCCCAACAGGCATCGAACAAGCCCCTACCTCCAATGTCTTCACCTCTGCACTGAACTTACTCATGATCCTACATGAGCGAGACAGCCGGAGAAGTTTTGCCCCCACCAACCACTGGCTCATCAGGTGATTGTTATCTTTATGTGGAAAGTCGTAAAGAACGGTTAGAAAAAGAAGCAGACTATTTAATGGTCTGTCAGCTGTTCAGATGTACTTAGCTCAAAGCTTTTTAATTTCATTTTACTGCATTTTTTCAATCTGTGGTATCGACGGCATGAGCTCAAGTAATATTCTGTTGAAATTCAAATATTGAATGGAAACTTAAAGCAGACACAACTTTTTAACTGGTTTTGTGGAGTATTTCTTTGTCTGGTAGAATTAAAGGGGGTGGGTGGCGGGTGCTATGATGTGGGTTGTTCCATCTTTCCTATCAAGAGCTTCCTCTTTTTTTGTGTGTGCGTTTGTTACTCGCTTGTAACACCTCTAGTCTTCGGCACTTTATGACGTTATTGTATTACAAGTGCGGTAAAACTGACATTAAACAGAACTATGCAACTTTGTTGTGGTTCATGAAATGTTTCTTTTTGTGACAGGGAAGTGAAACCGAGTCACTTTATGGACGAGCTGGAGAAGGAGAAGAAGACAGCCAAGTTTCTCATGCAGAGAGTTCCTCACATCATTCCATTCAACGAGGTGGGTGCGGCTCTTAACGTCTCAGAGGGATTTAGAATATTCAGTCTTTGTCCCAGAGATGCTGAATTTCTGGAAAAATCCGAAAATCTAGATTGCTGAAACTGTCCAGATTTTGCCTGACTTCACTTATTATTATCTTCTTGTCTGTTGAAATATATTCCTTACATTCCAGCTTTTACATTTGTTTATATTTTAATCTCTTTGTTCATGTCATATTGTACTTTAATGGATGGTTACTGGGTGCCCTAGTGTGGTTTTCTCCTTCTTTCCTGTCAAACATCTATCATCCTTATCTCTCCTTCTTTTTGTGTTTGTTACTCTCCTGTAAATCGTCTGCACTTATATGACTAAATTGTGTTGCAGGTCCCATAAAACTCTCTCTAGAACAAAAGTCTTTATATAAGAATATATTACACTCTATGATCAGTAAATTATGAGTCCCACCACAAATGTTTTCTTCGGCTGGAAATAGTTTCGGGTTTATATTATCGTAGCTAGTTGGCACATCTGTTAGTCAAAAGCTGAACGGGCAAGCATAAGCATAACAAATAACACATTAGTGATTACAGTTTCCACACAGTGCAGCTCTCAGTGTCGGAGGTTACCACATTAGATCAAAGGAATTGTTGTTTTTGTTATTGTTGATCTTGTAGCCTTTGAGCCTGTGCCCCACCCACCCACACACATTAGCCAACCCTCCCTCCCATCCAAGCCACTCACCAAGCCACCCATCCATCCAGCCACCCAGCCAACCCAGCCACCCACCCAGCCAGCCACCCACCCACCCACCCAGCCACCCACCCAGCCACCCAGCCACCCACCCAGCCAGCCCAATGCCATGTTAAAGAAGGTGGAGGTCTTCAACAATAGTTCTTTGCTGCAGTATAGAGTATTGCCTGTGGTAGGAATGGGGGAGGGAAAAGTTACAATTGCAGATCCTGTAGTTTTGGGACATTCTGTCAAGGAAATCAATTATCGTGTCTCAAATTGAGCCTTAATTTTTTTTAATTGAAACTTCAGTTTGTTAATATTTGAGCATTTAATTGGCTGCTTACACTGTATGTTTTCTAGAAAGCCAAGAATGTTTCTGAGTATTCCAGGATCTGTTTGGGTAATGATAATTGTAAAGTGCAGAAATCATGCTGATGGACATGGATTTGCCCTATATAAATTCAATTATTATTGTTATAAACTTCAACCCAGTGACAACATGTATGATATTCTTGATACTTGACTCCCTTTCGTTTCCAGCGTGTAATTATTTTCCGGAAAAATGTTTTGCGGGACAAAGAAAACCTCCGCTTGCTGGAGTCTGCTCACACCTCCGTACAGTCAACGCTAATCACCGTTCACCGGATACGTATTGTCGAGGTGAGTTGTACACGCTTATCACAGTACATGGAATATACAGTAGTCTCTTCCTAAGATCTCACTTCCTACGATCCCGGTTTGCTTAAAATCCAACTGTTTTAAGAAAACAGAATGTTAACTACATAAAAATCACCCCTAAGATCCTGCTCTGATTCACTCTAAAGGTCTACATTCAGCTGCTAAGATCTCGCATTTCAGATCATAATTTTCTGAAACTGAAACCCAAGCGGGCACAACCGATCGACCAAGAGGGAAATGTTGAGATCATTGAACTGCCATCACGTCACAAATCAGCCGCTCTCATGAATATGCTCGCATGTGCGTTGTAAAACTAGATGAAACAGTCTGATGTTTGCACCAGACGAGATCACGCCGAGGTGTTAACTCACCAAACCGTTTGATTTCCCCAAACATCGTACTGCCATCTGAGCTCTCCAACTAAACTTGCATCACGTGCTGGGTGGGTACAGCCTACAAGTACCACTCTAGACATGTATAGGTTTATTCCAAATGCAATTCTGAATAATTCCATATAAGATACGAGTGTTTTTTTCTGTTTGTGAATGCATCTTGTCCTTTTTTCAAGATTATAAAAAAATTTTTTTTTTTTTTCAATATCGGATGTTATGATCCAAATGTACACATTTTATGGAATGTAAGCAAATAACTGCAATTTTTAAAATATTTTCCAGTTCTATATTCTTTTATGGTTGTTTTGATGTATCATTTGACAAGGTGCAAACATATTTTTTGAGTTTCACCAATGATTATTTGTTTTTTATTTTCAAATTTTCTCTGCATCCAGGCAAAATTGTGTTGCATAATCGCCTCTTGCAAGAACCAAAGTTGAAAAATACACATATAAATATTACAGATGTATTCTACAAACCATACTGAAAAATGTGATCTATAATATGTTCATATTTATTTGAATTTGTGGCCCTAAAGACCTTTGAACTGCGCACTAGTCATCATCTCATTTCGCCCTCCCGAAAAAAATTTGTCCACAAGCCGAAAATAATGCATAGCGAATGAGTTAAACCTCGTGTAAATGTATTTGTGAATCTTTTACTGTGTCCTTTTCTTTTTGCCTCTATAGGATTAAAATTCTTCAATTGCTTGCCAGAAAATATTTCTTTCAGATTCAATGCCCAGCTTTACTCTAGTGAACCTAACTGAACTCTTAATTACAACATTTTTCACTTTTGTGATTCAGTCATGGTCCCTCTGCCGGTGGTTGGAGGATGCCACTGGTAGCTCCAACTTCTTCTTTTCTTTCCCTCTGTTGTTTCTTTCCTTCTGTCTTACTTTTTCTCTGCACTAAATGACCATTATTGTGTTTATGTGCTTTTCTCTACTCAAAAGATACACTCTTGACTCATTATTTTTCTATTTATTTCTGTGGACAGGATGGTTATCGGCAACTAGCTCAGCTGCCCAGCAGAGCTCTGAAAGGAGTGATCAGGGTCAGGTTCATCAATATGATGGTAAGTGAACTCTTTTTTTTTAAAAGGAAATAAGAGAAAGCAGAAGAGGTGAAAGTAGATGAAGATTGATTTGTTGAGAGAACTTGAACAGATGGGTACTAGGAAAAGACCAGATAATATAGGGTTGTTGTTTTTTGTAGAGCATTCGAGCAGAGAAACACAAGGAGGACCATGATAACTGATGTCTGTTTCTGATCTGTAAACCTGAAGAAAAAATTTTTTTTTTCAAATTGTCTATTTCTTTAGTTTGATTGATGTTTGTTTCTATGATGACCGTGTTCTATTTCTATGATGATCTTGATCTGTTTTACACAGGGACTGGAAGAGGCAGGGATAGATCAGGATGGAGTCTTCAAGGAATTTCTTGAGGAGACCATCAAACGTGTCTTTGATCCTCACCTCAACCTATTCAAAGTAAGTCCTGTGTTGTGTTGTGCTTGTCACATTAATACTTTGAGGCGTTGGCCCCCTGAGACTTCAGGACCTGTGGTGGGTTGCTGGAGTGTGTCACTGATAGGTCTTACTTCTTTACTTTTGCGCTGCACAGTGGCGACCGACAGTGGCATTGTTTGTAAACTGTTCTGTATTTGTGTATTTATGTATGTATTTATGCATGTATGTATTTATGTATGTATGTATTTATAATTATGTATTTGTGTATGTTTGTTTGCCATTGTAAAACAAAATGCCCTTCTGGGACAAATAAAGGTGTAATTTATTATTATTATTATTATTATTATTGTTTGTCTAGCTGTCTTACTTTACTAAATGACCACTTAACTGTCAATGTGCTAATCTTTATTCAGACTACATGATCTGCACACCCAAGCTCTGACTGTTATTTTGTCGATGTTTCTCTTTTCTCAAACAAAGGGATGAGGAGACATTTGCGCCTCTCTGTCACTAAATGTAACCCCAACATTCCCCAGGTGACCAGCGAGCAGAAGTTGTATCCATCGTCCACCTCCTACCTACAGGAGAGTCACTTGGCCTTGTTTGAGTTCATTGGGAAGATGTTGGCTAAGGCAGTCTATGAGGTAAGTTATTTCAGTGGGAACACTGACTACTTAACCCTTTCGCACTTAGCAGGCTTGGCCAGCTGTGGCCCCCCATCCTTAAGACAAGGGCAACAACTCAACGAAAATTGAAGGGGTACCTTACTAAAGAAAATTGTACAAAATCACAAACACAATCAAAAATGATGAAAATAGTATTTTCTGAAAGGAAAATGAATGAGCTAAATTACTAGTACAAAATTATAAGTGGAATAGAAGAGTATGAAATGATATGAGAGGTCTTTCTGAGATGCGTGTCTTGGATTCCGAGAGCGCTCCTTGTAGGAAAGAAGGGGGTGTTGTATAAAAAAAAAAAAAACCAACATAAAATCACAAAAACAAACCACAACAAAAACAAGGACAGCCTCAGAAGGAAAATTGAAAATAGTGTACAAAAATAATGAAGTGAGAGCAAAGAAAGAAAATAAAACAAGAGCTGGTTGAGTGGACATTGAGCTAGATCTAGATCTGAATCTCTAGATCTAGAAATCTAGATCTCGTATACATTTCTTCAACTCACGAAGTTTCTGCCACTGACAAAGAGGTAATCCACACAAAAGAAACACAACACATTCACAGAGATTGAATCCTCTGGTGGAAACTTGAAAGCACCTAAAAGACTTTTTTTTGGGGTGTTTTTATTTTGTTTCTGCCGTACTCATATCGGGCAGCTTTGCGCCCATGCATCCTAGAGACATGATGGCGTGCTTACAACTAAAATCTCCTCCAACTTTAGTTCCCGCTCAAAAAGTGACTCTTTGTGCTAGCGAAACAAGAAAAACATCATAGTAAACCGGAGCTCTTCCTCTTTAAAGATAGCTAAGTGAAACTTCTGACGATAGTAAAAGTAGAAGCCTCCCGCGGCAACGAAACAAACACCCCCGTGGCGGGTGCATTCGGGCGCTATAGGAATGAGCGGGGGTCACCGGCGCGGGCGCTGTAAGTGCGCGAAACGGTTAAGTCAAGAGTGGGGGGGGGGGGGGTATTGAGAAAACTTTGAAATACTCTATGACTGTCAAATGAAAAAAACAACAAAAAAAGAGCAAAAGTTAAAATGTCTCATTGTTTGGAGTTTTTGTTTTAAAGTTACAAGAATGCTTAATTAATATTCCTATGAAGTGGAGCTTGCTCTAACAGAGGCAACCTGCCCAAGATGGTCCCCTGTTCAAACAACCACGGCTCACTTATTCCTTTAAGTTTATTATGTAATTATCACTTATAAAGATTCTTTTTTATAATGGCTCTGTCAAAGGGGACCATTGGTCAACTAAGACTGTCGCTTTTCTCCTCGACAATAGGTGGTAGTCTCGGACATGATTTGACTGCATTATATTTTCTCTGTAGGTGGTTTGTGGGTGCTCTTGTCTGGTTTGCTGCTTCTTTCCTATCACACATCTATTGTCCTTATCTCGCCTCCTTTTTTGTATTTCTTTCTCTCCTGTAACACCTCTAATTTTTATCAATGATCTGAATGTGGTAATGTCAACAGCCATCTCCAGGTTGCCAATTTAGTCTTTCAAAGATTGGACATTAGTTACCCTATACTAACTGTGCATACACCATTGGGAAAGAAAAAGAAGAACATCTTTTTAATGTTTTGATTTGATATTATGAAATCAGTAACAAAAGGAAGAACTTAATTTTTAACCGTTTTTTCTTCAGCATTTCTGAGTTAAAATGTTACCTCTTATTTACTATATATAGTTTGGAATGGAGATGGGGAACAATTTTGTTTGTTCATATTGATTTCAGAGTGTCAACAACAAAATAAAACCGAGAAGATTTTTTGTTTAAAAAATGTTTTCAAGCATTTCAGGTATAAAATGTCACCTCATACTATGCCTACGTGAAAAGAGAATAGAAACATTTTTTTTTGGTCTGTTTTTAATTCCAGGGTATCGTTGTGGACGTGCCATTTGCCCCGTTTTTCCTGACCCAGATTCTGGGCCACCTTCAAAGTGCCACCTACAGTTCTTTAGACGAACTGCCCTCTCTGGACATGGAGCTAGCAAAGTCTCTGTCGTATATCAAGGTATGGATCAAATCAGTGGGTAGTCTGAGAGTGTCACCGGTAAACCCTACTTCTTCATTGTCTTTCTAAACGTTTTTTTGTGTCTTTCTTTTGTGGGTGGATAGTTTGTGCTCTGCTGTGATTTGCTCCATCTTTCCTTTCAAACGTCTATCCTCCCTTAAATCTCTTCTTCTTTTTTGCATTTGTTACTCTCTTGTAACACCTCTAATCTTCGGCTTTTATATATGACCTTATTGTGTTGCAAGTGCTGTAAAACGCTGAATTGCCTTTGCTGTTGGTATGTGCTCCGCTTGAACTCAAATGAAGTAGAAGTAAAGATGAAGACTGTTAGTTAAAGTTGACATTTCATAATGTATTTTCATTGAGGTCTAAATTGTTATTATCAGCAGTATTATCAATTAAGTACCGCTCAGAAAATGTCGTAGAGACACATTGTTATGTCACTCTCAACTAAAAATATTCAGTTGGCCGGTGCACTAGTGTGGTTTGCTTCTTTTTTCCTACCAAATATCTATTATCTTTATCTCCCCTCCTTCTTTTTTTGTGTTTGTTACTCTCTTGTAACACCTCTAATCTTCGGCACTTATATGACTTTATAATGTTGCAAGTGCCGTAAAACTCTTACAACAAAAAAAAATTAATATTCTTACTATACAAATGTCATCTCAGAGTTGGTTTACTGACACTTTTGTTTTGTTCCAGTGGCTTGCATTTCCTTCTTGTACATTGTTATGAATATTGAACAGGATACAAAAGGCTAAAGTGATTTAAGAATTTCTTTAAGAATATCTGAATTGACATGGTAATGAACATCTTTGTTTCACTGAAAAAATAGGAAAACAAAATAGGCACAGATAGGGCAGATAAGAAAAATAACCTACCTACTTACAGACCTTGTGCAGATGGATCACTGTAATAGATTTGATGTTATTAGTTTGTTTAGAACATCTGATCAGAAAAGTGAGTGGGGGACCATGATAGTTGATGTCTGTTTCAGATCAGGCATTTGAAGAAGAAGAAGACTCATTTTCTATCATGTTTGCCACATTTTGACTTGTTCCCTCTCCCTGTCTCACCTCAAAATGAATATACAAGAGTATCATTTTTAATCACTTACAACTCATGGTTGCTGCTGCATGAATTAACAGTGCTTCCAACAGCTGAAGCGGAAAAGTAAGGAAAATTCTGCTGGGGGTGTGGAGACCGAACAGGTCCCCAGCAGGGTTCAGGGACAGCGTCCCTTTGGGTTTCAGGAGGCGACGCCCTGGAAGAAAATGAAATAAAATGAAATATCTTTCCATTGCTGGCAATGTTTAAAAGCAGGTTCCCCTTGCCATTGCTACTATAATTCAATTAATTTGTCATGGCACCATTGATAAAGAGCAAACCTGGGAATAATGAATAAATACATACCTTCACAATACAGTACCCAGCGTTTGCTTCCGAATTTTCCTCAGTTATCCCGTTTGAATGTTGTATGTCGCAGCCTCAGAACACCACTCCTAATTATTCTTGATTTTAGTAATTTTGGGGGAAATTTCTTTCTCCGCCGCCCTTGTCTCGTTCCCATGCCGTAGAATCTTCACCTTGACAAATTGTCTAGATCTAGACAAATTTGCAAAATACTAGTTTCTTTCTGACAGTAATTTTCTAAGATCACAGGTGACTTTACTTGATCAACGCGCAGGTTTTCCAGCCGCGGCAACAATCCGAAGATAGACAGAAAGATTGAGTGTATGATAGAAAAGAGGAAATTGGCCCCTGGTGTCCCGTTTCAACCCCCACCCCCTTGTGTCTCATTCCAATCCCCTCCCCCTTGTGTCTCGTTTCAACCTCTTCCCCTTCGTGTCCCGTTTTTACCTCTTCCCCCTTCTGTCCCACACACAGCACTACGACGGGGACGTAAGTGACCTTGAGTTGACCTACTCGTGTGATGAGGACATTCTGGGTCAAGTCGTGACGCATGAGCTAGTGCCGGGAGGAAAGGCCATACAGGTCACAGACGAGAACAAGTGAGCGACTTGACTAACTTGACTGTACTTTTTTATTTCTCTTTCTTT